TTTTTTTTGGATGAAGAGGAAGAGGAGTCCCACCCCATTACCAAAATTGCGGCACGCGCGTGCCTCACATTAGCCCCATTTAACGCCGCTTCTAGAGACCCTTAAATAAACATCGACCTCCACAATTTGGTAATTGTGTTTGTGACTTTCTAACTTGTTGTTGGAGCGAACAAAAAAAAATATGGGGTGAGTGAAAGAGAGATATGAACAGGGGTGGAACGAGGTGAGATAAATGTGCCCGAGGGGGAATTGCGCGTATTAATTAAGCCGCAACACGTTTGTTAAAAGCGCGTGTGATTTATGGAACGAGCAGAGGGGAAAAATTCACCTTTCTCGACGAATAATAAAAATAAAAATTAAAAAAAAAAACAGACAGCAACAACACACGTTGTTCATTATTTTCCCCCTCGCGCAGAGCCGCAACGGACATTATATTTTAACCATTTTCGAACAACGACCATATATCAAGTTAACGTATTAACATTAAGACATGCATTATGTTTGGTAAAGTGAACCTCGTGAGCACATGCACACAACACACATATTTCGTAATTTATCGTAACATCTTCATTAACACATCCAGAGAGTCTTCGAGTCTGCAGGTTTTGAGAGAGGCGATCTAATTTATACCTCATGATGATTCAGCGTACATACGCGCATGATTATTTCACAGTTCATCCAGTTTTATTTATTGCACGAAATTTCAATATCCTCGTACTGCCACCATTCGATTTGTTGTCTAGCCGAGAGCAAGATTGATTATTGCTTTCCGTTTGCCATGTTTCTGCCTTTGCTATCTTCGTTTTCTTATTTATCTCTTTTATTATTTTTACATTTGTACTTGTCGTTGTTGTACTTTTCCTATTCTTTTTCCTTTTCTTCTATCGATCAGCCTGCCAATGAATTGCAGAAATATGGAAAGTCTCTGATTTATTTATTGATCTCTGCTTACGGTATAATCATTCCGATCGAATCACATAAATGAATAAATCTAGCAAACGCCGATGTCTAACATACGCAGAATACTATAATTAAATTTAATTATATATACTCTTTCAGATCTATCAGCAGAAATTATTAATATTTAAGGTCAAGCAATGCAAAGGTTTCAAATGATTCATCATTATAAAACTAAACATTAATTTTGACACATGTATACGTAGATTGATTGAAGATCTCTTGTTAATAAAGTAATTTTAGAATAAATACATTTATTGCGTAATTATAAATTAATGTATATTTTCGTTTTTTTTTAAATTTAAATATTAATTTTAATGTAGTTACCGTGTCGAGATCGTGAGAGATGGAGGAATTAAAACCATTGATGCTTACCTGAAACGAAACAAAACGGAACATAAATAAACGTTAATTGCGTGCATTTCGGAAGAAATATCAGCGAGAAAGATTTACGAACAGGAAGAAAACGGTTGTCAATGCGTTCGCAGATATATCGTCTCTTACTTTCCTTCCATCCATTTAAGAGATGTTGCGAAATTGCTCGCATGGAACACATTAGGAATTGCCGCCGAGGAATAATGGAGGTGAAAGGTTAAATCGGAGAGACCCGTGTGCTGGCTGATGCATTCGGAAAATATTTCGCAAAACCGACGACAAGAATTAAGAGATGTTTAGTCTTGCACTAAGTTCAGATTGAAAATTTAAAGAAAGTCTTCATTGTATTTGCTAACGATATTTTATATTTGAATAAAGTGCATACAAAGTTTGTTCAGAAGGTGACCGTAATAAATATAATAATGTATTGCACGTTGCAAATGTTATCGCTATAACCGAATTTGTTTGAGTTTACAATAATAGTTTCGTGAAATATTAAACAATTGAGAAACGTGCATATCGAGGCAATAGTTGATCTAATCAGTGTGACGTAAGATCGTTGGATTGGAACCGAGATTCCGGCGTTGGACAGGACAGGACATTCGTTGGGATTTGATGTGATTGAGCGATTGGCATTTGTTATTAATTATCGAACCGTCGCGGCGATTTGCGTCGATCGGGTTTCGTGCCTCGATAATAATGCGTGTAAG